ATGATAGATCAGTGGGAAAATTGTAAATAATAATTAATCATCCCAAGAAGATGATCAGAGAGGAATGAAAGCTTATCTCAATATAAGTTCTGTAAGTGGCATGTCTCTGTGAACTGCACAAACTTTAGGGAAGAAAAGAGGATCCTAGAAAGTTCCATGTAGGTAAAAGAGAAAGCCCAACAATCTCTTTTTTTTTTATTTTTATTTTTTTTTTTCAGATCATCAGCACTGACAATAACAATCTTAAAGGTGGGGCTAGAAAAAGGAAGGTTTTCGCCTTAATTGGATCAGGAAGGGTGAGAGGTCCCAAAGACAGAGGATACCATGGGGAGCTAGAAGACTTCCCCAGATCCAAGGAACAAAGGAAGGACTATCAGAAAGCTCCAAGCAAGTCGTATTGTATACTGAGGGGTGTTCCCAGATGCCTGGAGCAGGGACCAGGGGGCTTGCCAGTGAGGGGAGGCCAAGGCACCAGCTCAGTTATATTCACCACTGCCTAGCTTCAGGGCCTGGGGCACATAAGCATTTCATGAATACTTGTTAAGTGAGGGGCCTGAGCCAATGAGATGAATGAAAGTAGACCTAGACCCCAAAAGAGAGGGGAGAGAATTGATTACCATTTTGAAAGCTTTTGTGAATCTCAATTAAATCAGGATATTCCTTCAGGTTAACCCTGCTGAACAGGACTTCTAGAAGTGAACAATCAAATCTCTTCTCGAGGTGGCAGAGAACATTGTACACCACCCTCCGTACAGGAACCAAGTTTATGCAGGCTTCATGAGAATCCTTTTTGAAAGTTCAATGGAAAAAGTACAAAATAACAGTTTCAAAGTTAAACAGAGATCCAGGAAGTAATTGGCATAGCCTTAAAAACCAAGAGGCTCACCACCTGTAAGATTTCAGTGTTTTTTTTTTTTTTTTTTTTTTTTTTTTTTTTTTTTTTTAGCCCCGTTCTTGGTTGTCCCAGGGGAAGGGACCAACCCATAAGCTACTGAGATTCAGACTGACTCAAGGGCTAGGAGTTCCCCATTGAATTATAAGAATACATACATGCTCCTTCTGTGTAATCATGAGGTGGTGTCCCTGATCACTTGCCTGAAGACTCTAATTAATATTTTTATGTGTTCAGTGCTCCAAGACAAATATTCTCCCCAGAAAAGTGATGGAAAAGAGACACAAAAAATGCACAGCATTCAGCCAAACTGTGAAAGAGGTAATTATGACTGGACAAAAGCTTTGTTCTCTGGTCTACTAAGAGGAAAAGGAGACAGAGACCTGCACTCTGGAGGGCAGACTGCCCTCCCTGCTGGGGAGCGTGCTGGAGGGGTGTGGGGAAGGTAGACGAGGGTCACTTTGCACTGATTCCAAAGTGACCTGCCTCCAAGTGGAATCCGAGAGCACTTTGGGGAGGTGGCAAAGAGAGACTTTCTGCCCAATAACCTGGAGGGTGGAATCAGAATCTGAGAGTGAGTTAGGAGACCTTCAGTGTGGAGCTGTGATGGGCTAGGAATGGTGGGCCTGTGGCCAACAACGTCAAAGGAGAGATCCTTGGTGATGGCAGAAGGAGCTGATTTAAGTATGGGGGATGGTGTTCAAGACAAGAATATTCACAGAGAAAGGCAGCCATGTAGAGAGAGACCGGGCAGACGGGATGCAGATATGAAGAGGATGTGGAAACTCTGAGAAAAAGTGAGAGAGAGAGAGTGAAAGAGAGAGAGAGAGAGGAGAAAGGAGGGGAAATGAAAGAGTAGAAAGGGGTAAAGGGCAACAAATAGAACCATATTACCAACAGCTCACTCTGAATGAACATCTGCTCTGTGGCAGTTGCAGGTGGAGTGCTCACACCTATTAGTATTGGTATTACTTATGTGCCAGTCTTGCAGATAAGGAAACTGAAATCTAGGGAGACCACATGTGGATTTTGCCTAGGGTCAGATGAGCAAAGATGAACCCAGGCGTTCTGAGCCCAGAGCTGTGTCTTAACCCTGTGCTGCTACCCAGGTAATCTGACAGAAAGAGCAGAAACATGGAACACAAATGGGTTCATTTATGAAGAGATAAAAATACAGAGAAAAGAATAGCAAGAGCTGCAGGAAGTGGAGGCACATCAGATGCTAAAAGCCCATGGAAAGGTCCACAGGAAAGAGTGAACAGATGGGGATGGGCAGGGTACGAAAGGTGGTGGGGCCAAGGTGACCATGACTTGGCAGGAACTGAGACAGGGGCAGTTCTGGGACAAAGGCAGGTTCATTTGGGCCAGGGATGTTAAGACAAGTCATGGCCACTTACCAGAGTGCGAGGTGGCCTGGCTGAGGCCTCTCAGCTTGGGGTGTGTCTGACCTCCTTGATCTGCCAGTTCCCAACGGGCTCTGCACTGAGACTTAGACGGGTCTTTAACTCTTACACTATAAAGATTAAAAAGGGACTAGGGGAAAATAGCAAAACCCATACTTTAATTTCTGAAATAAACTTCTAATATCTTCCCCCAGGAACTGGTGAAAACTCCTTGCCAAGCCTGCCTGGACCACACTCGGATTCCTCCTTTTCCACTGGTCTGTTCCTGTTGACTGTTCTGTCCTTTGTTGCCTCATCCTGTTCTGGAATGTGCTGTGGGGCTGCCTCTCGTGTAACGGATTGCCCATAGTTTTCAATCTTTGCATCTGCAGTGCTTCAAGTTCAGGATTTAAATAACAGGTCTTTTATCCCCTGGGTTGCCTGGGAGGGATTCCTCTTCCCATAACTCTTGGACACACCTGCTGCCAGTTCCTGCTGGCTTTGGGCCTGGGTGTTTTACTCATGAGCCTGCTTCACAGTTTTCTGCCTGTGTCTGCTTGACTGTGGCTGCTGACTTAGTGCTGTGACCTCCATCCAGCGGTGGCCCATGCTGTGGTGGTGGAGGGGACAAGGAGAGATGAGCTGCAGGGGAAAAATGAAATATCCATGAATCAAAACATGGTTTAGGTACAACCCCACCTGAGAGCGGACTCTTGGAGCACCTCCGTGAAACAGAACAAGCAAATACAAAAGGAAAAGATACAACCAGAGACAAAAGTGATGTACTAGGAAGCCAAGAAGCAAATCAACAATGTGCCCAAGAGCCTGAGCCAGCAGGTAAGACTGACTTGCTGGGTTTGCATGAGTGTGGAGGGGCTGGGGGTGCCCAGGCTGAGGGCAGGGAGTGGACTAATGCAGGGCCCAGGGAGACAGTTATTTAACAAAGGGGAAAATCACACAGACACAGAGAGTGCAGGAATGGAGCCTGATATCCTGATGAACATACCTGGAGGAAGAAAGTTATAAAAGAAAACTGGGAGGCAAGGGGGAAAGAGTTGCAGAGCCTCAACAGGGAAGAGAAAAAGAAACAAAAGGCAAAAGGAGGAGTTAGAGAGAGGCTGGCCATGGGCTCAGTGAAGCACAGACACCTTCACAGGGTGGGGCAGCAATAGGTGCAGACAGGGCTATTAGGTAGAAACTTGAGAAGGAAAGCGAGGCAGGGTGAGGTATAACAGAATGGAAATAGGACAGAGCAAGGCTCGACTGTATCTCAGCTGTGCTCTCTATTGTCTTCAGCCTCCTGTGGGCCAGTAGTGACTAATGTGATGAACAAAATAATTATTACTTACCTATAAATTTTCTTTTTCTTAGATGCTCTATTTTTTTGTCGTTTGTTTATTTTATACCATGTTAACAATTTCTTTAAATTGACAAATTTAAAGTTATATATATTTATCATGTATGTTGTTTTGAAATATGTTTATATTGTGAAAAAGCTAAATGGAGCTAATTAACATATGCATTACCTCACGTACTTATCATTTTTGTGGTGAGAACACTTAAAGTCTATTCTCCTAGTGATTCTACAGAATACAATGCATTATTAACTATCGTCACCATGTTGTATAATACTGTGGTCCCCAAGCCCTGAGCTGCAGCCTGGTACTGGTCTGTGGCATATCAGGACATGGGCCACGCATCACTGCTGAGCTCTGCACCCCCTGCCCCACGACACCCTGCACCCCTGCTCTGGTCCAAGGAAAAACAGTCTTCAATGAAAGCAGGCCCTGGTGCCAAAAAAATTTTGGAACTGCTGGTAATAGATCTCCTGAACATATTCCTCCTACCTAACTGAAACTTTGTATCCCTTGACCAACATCTCTGCTATTCCCGTCTTTCCCCAACCCCTGCCCGTTTACCACCACATACCCTCAACTTCTATGAGTTCAACTTTTCTACACTCTGTATATACTGTATTTATCTTCTGTGTTTGGCTTATTTCACTTAACACAGTGTCCTCCAGGTTCACCCATGTTGCTACAAAACAGGATTTCTATCTTTTTTAAGGACGAATAGTATTCCACAGTGTATATATGTATCACATTTCTTCATCCATTCATCCTTGATGGATACATGGGTTGATTCCAAATCTCGGCTGTTGTGAATAATGCTGCAATGAACACGGGAGTGCAGACATCTCCTCAACATTCTCACAGTCCCTCAATTATGACTGTTCTACTTGTAATTCTTCAACTTTTGATGGGTTTATCAAAGTATTAAATGCATTTTTTTTTTTTTTTGAGACAGAGTCTCGCTTTGTTGCCCAGGCTAGAGTGAGTGCCGTGGCGTCAGCCTAGCTCACAGCAACCTCAAACTCCTGGGCTTAAGCGATCCTACTGCCTCAGCCTCCCGAGTAGCTGGGACTACAGGCATGTGCCATGATGCCCGGCTAATTTTTTATATATATATCAGTTGGCCAATTAATTTCTTTGTATTTATAGTAGAGACGGGGTCTCACTCTTGCTCAGGCTGGTTTTGAACTCCTGACCTCGAGCAATCTGCCCACCTTGGCCTCCCAGAGAGCTAGGATTACAGACGTGAGCCACCGCGCCCAGCCTAAATGCATTTTTGACTTAACAGTAGTTTTGATTTACAATGGGCTTATGGAGATGTAGTCCCATTGTAAGTCTAGAAGCATCTGTACTAATTTCATATCCTTCAGATATAATAGGATAATCCCCAAGTAGGGGGATTCCTGGATCATATATATGGTAATACTATTTTTAATTCTTTAAAGCAACTCCATGCTTTTTTTCCATAATGGTAGGGACAGTTAGTGGGAGGTGTCACTAGGAGGCTTCTGAGGTATTGGGGGAATCCTGTTTCTTGAGCAAAGTGATATGCTCACTTTGTGATCACTGAAAATCCACTTTTATCTCTGTATGTTATTCTACCATTATAAATTTTATTTTATTATTTTATTTGTTTATTTAGAGACACGGTCTTGCTCTATTGCCTAGGCTGGAGTGCAGTGGCACAATCATAGCTCACTGCAGCCTTGAATTCCTGGGCTCAAGTGATCCTCCCACCTCAGCCTCCCAGGTAGCTGGGACTGCAGGCATGCACCACCATGCCTCGCTAATTCTTCTTATTTTTATAGAGATTGGGTCTCACTATGTTGCCCAGACTGGTCTCGAACTTCTGGCCTCAAGTAATCCTATAATTTTTATTTATTTATTAAAAAAAATACAGACGGTGTCTCGCTCTTGCTCAGGCTGGTCTCGAACTCCTGAGCTCAAACAATCCTTCCACCTCAGCTTCCCAGAGTGCTAGGATTACAGGCATGAGCCATCGTGCCCGGCCTATAATTTTTATTTTTAAAAAGGCAAAAAAAATTAGTCATCAGTGGATGAGATGAATAGGTAAAGGGAAAGGTTAAGAAAAAAAAAAAAAGAGTCAAGAGAGCATGAAGAAAGGAACAGAGTTGAGCAACAGGAAAAAAAGAAGGATGGTGAGAGTTGGGGGAAACTTTCTCCCCAGCAGTGAAATTGAGGGAGGAGTTATCAATGGCAGTGAGGGGCCCACTGGGGAGACAAATGAAAATGCTTTGTTTCTTACAATTTGGCCCAGGGTTAGAGCTACACAACCCAGGAATCCAAATGAATTCCTGTTCTGTGCATCTGGTGGATATAAAGAAAGAGGCGCAACTTTTTAACTCAGAAGATGAGCAGCAAGCCCAAGCAGGAGCTAACCATAACCAGGCATCTGACACAATAGGTAAGGCTGACTGGACGAGTTTGTAGCTGTGAATCACAGGTTACCAGGTAAGGGCTCAGGTACTTCATCAGGGCCCACTGAGGCAGTCCAGGCAGCCTGGGATGGAGACAGGAAGGGGAGAGGCCAGCAGCTCAAGCAGTGAGCCTCAGCTTAACAGAAGAAAGTCCCTAGGAATTGTGAAAATTGCAAAAGACAGAAATGGAGGTAATAAGCATTGATGTTGGAGAGGCTGTTTCTGTAGGAAGAGGGGTTGGCACAGGGTAGGAGTCAAAGAAAAGGGAAAAAATCAGGGAGCTAAGATATTCACAGGAGGAGATGGAGAAAGAAACTCAACAAGACAACAAGAGGTATATAGAGAGCCACTGCCAGAGACAGAGGCAGAAGCAGGGGAGATGCGCAGAACCGAGAGAAAGTTCAGAAGTAAAATGAGAGTTAAAAGTGGAAGACGAGTGGAGTGAGACCAGTGCCAGTGGATGGGCAAAGCTGCCCTCCATGTGCAAATTTTATCAGCTTTTGGTTTAAGACCTGGATAAGCTGCAGATCACATTCATTCCAGAAAGAGGGTCACTTTGCTTCCCAGGTCTTCCTAGCGCTCCTTTTGTGTTGTCGTTGACACTGGGTCTCCCTGTATCCCCCAGGCTGGAGTGCAGTGGCCCGAACATAACTCACTGTAACGTCAAACTTCTGGGCTCAGATGATCTGCTCACCTCAGCCTCTGCAGTAGCTGGGAGCACAGGCGAGTGCCACCATGCCCGGCTAACTTTTACACTTTTTGCGGAGTCAGGATCTTCCTAGGTTGCCCAGGCTGGTCTCACACTCCTGGCCTCAAGGGATCCTTCTGCCTGGGCCTGCTAAAGTGCTGGGAAGCCCCTAGTGCACTTTTATGGGATTTTCTGCATGTGTACTTCTTGGTCACATACTGAGACTTTCAATGGGTTTTGCTCCTTTGCACAGTTATCAGCAGTGAGGACTCTAAAGAATCCAGTGATGGAGACAAACCCCCAGGAGCCCCCCTCTCAGCACTGGAATGTGACACACATGGGGAAGGTCAGGGGAGCAAGGCTTGGGCTCTGGGAATCTGAGCGATGAGTTACTATTTCCTGATGCACTTTATTCTGACCATTTCGGTATAATGATCCAGTTTATCCTGGAATCTCATTCTCTGCACTTACTTAACTTGACCCATTTGGGAAATGCAAGGAGATAAAAAAATTGTTCTAAATTTATTTTTGAGAATTAGGCTTATTAATTGGTGGATTCTATTAATCAATGTATGTACCCATACATTGATTATATAGTAGACATAGGCTAGCAAAGTGATGAGTTTGTTTCTCAATCTGACTAATTACCATTCCCAGAAAGTGTTAGATTTATGCCATGATTTCTGTAGAGAGCAGAAATGTAAATATTCCTTTATTTGAAGATCATGTTGTCATCTATCACAAACTGTAAATAGTGTCAAGAGATAATTCATCTAGATATCTAGTGTTAGCAGAAATAGACTTGAGATAAAGTATTGTGAAACCTGAAGTATTGTTTTTGATAGGGTTCTTTTGCATGTCATCGCATATATAGTGATTTTTCAAGACTGTTGCTAATAGTATTTTTTCTTTGCAATAACCTGGAAGGGTAAGCAGGATAGACAGTGTTGTCCTCATTGCTTAGATAAGAAAACACAATCACCTAAATGTTTCAAGGTCATCTACAAAGACTCTTGGGAAATTAAAGGAAAGACAAGACTAGCATCCTGGATTATGAGTTTTTTCCTTTGTAAAATGAGAGATAGGAAGAAATATCAAAATGTTGTATTATCTCTCTCCTATTTGCAGCATGAGTTGTCATATCATTTATAATTAGTGTACAAATTGGTGATTTGTTTTCCCTTTTTACTTTCTAGATCCAGAGAATATTAGAAACATGCCACTTTAGGGAAAGCACACTAGGAAAAAACATAGGAACAAACACAAATCTTGCCTCATCTTGATGTTACAAAAAAACAATGTGTTAAATACATTCATTCTAATTGCTCACTGTATCTTTCAAAGTAAAATGTAAATTTGCTTCATTTTTTAGACAGTGCACACTCTAACTTTTATCCTAGTGTAAGAAAACTCCTCTAAAAAATAGTCCTCAAATGTACCTGTGGCTCAAACACAAAAGAAGGTGATTTCTCAGCCTTGTAAACAGTTCAAGGAGGTACCTAGTTGGTGGGGATACAGGAGGGTCAACACTTTCAACACAAGGTCTTCAAGGTCTCCTTGTGTGGAAAACAGAGGCAGAGATGAAGGAAATGTGGAATGACAGGAGAAGGGGTGAGAAGTAACAGAGAGCAGTGCAGGAAAGCAAAGGTCAGCAAAGTTGCTCCTTGCCAGTGAATTGTCTCTGCCTGTGGGGACAGGAATGGAGCATCACTCACCTATAAGGCAGGTAACTTAGAAGGGAAGACCCGCTTGGCCTAGGTGCATTCCAGGACTTGCATGGATTTGCAAGGTTTTTCCAAGTTTTCTTATTAGGGAATGTCGTTGGCTGCACACTGAGACCCCTTAAGGAATCCTATTCTTTTGTGTAGTGATCAAGGAATATGGATCTTCAGAATCAAGCGAGACAGAGGAGGCCCAAGAAGCCACTTGCTCACGACCCCAGATTGCACCAGGTAAGGATATTGCAGTTGCAATTCCTGAACTATAGAACATCTAGAGTCCAAATCCAGAGCTCTGTTTTCCTGATGAATTTTATTCTGAACATTCTCCATATGCCTTGATTCTGTAACTTCTAGGACGTCATTCTCTGCATTTAACCTCCCTGGCCTTATTGGGAAATGGAAGGTGTCAGGAAGGCATTATAAACTGCTCTTTTATTTGATGGGTCCAGTTGAATCATATATTGAAGATGTAGCAAAAATACGCTAGTAAAATGATAGTCATTTTACTACACACTATCATATATATTGATGCTACAGAGTTGGAGTAATGAACTGACTCTCCACTGCCGTTTATATCTGATGGAGCACTGTCGGCAGAGCATTCCTCTGTCTGTCTCTGTCTATCCTCAGAGCATCTTTGTAGTCCAAAAGCATCTGATGTAGTCCATCTGTGGCGATCATGTCTATCTCTCCCCATCTAAAGGAAAGGGATCACTACCAAATGGAGTAGGGATCCACAATCCTTTAGCTCTAATTGCAAAATCAAACATGTTTTGAAAACCAATATTTTTTCATATGTGTGCAGCTAACCAATTTGGCAGTAAATCTGGACTTGAGCTGCCATGAATCCCTGTAAAATCGCAAATCCTGTGTACTAACAGTGTAAATAGTCAGAAGGTTTATAATCCTTTTAGTTATAGCTTACTGGTTTTCTTTTCTTTCCTTTCTAGATCCTGTGGATATTGGAAACACACTTACTTGTTGGATACTTAAAAGGAAAAGACCACATAGGCCTCAAGGTGTTCCATGTCCCAAGTGCAATACAGGTTTATTCCTTGCTCACATAAATGGGATAAAAGATTTTATTTATTTTTTTTTTGGGGGGGGGTGTGTCACAAGCTTAGAAAGTCTTCAAAGAATAATTTGTGCTGCTATTTACTTATTAGTAGGAAAAACTGACTTCAGAGCAAATACACCCAAAAATATATTGTAGTTAAATAGTTGACTTACATGGTGATTTTTCATAGAAGAAAGATAATTTGGTATAAGAAGACAGAGAGCCAAGACAAAGCACAGATGCCCACTGGGGGTGAAATTTTCTCAGCCTTGGTTCAAGTGACAGTGAGGCTAAAATACTAACTAACCTTCATGCCACATGAATTCAAAAGTCATGTGATGGAGATATGAAGGCAGGGAAATTCTTTCCCTGGAATCAGAGTTTCCCAATTTTTTCTTAGTTTCTTTCTTTCTTTTTTTTTTAAATGTTCTTTTGTCTTGGTACCCTTGTCACACACTGAGACCTCCAAGGGACGTTTGCTCTTTTCTGCCTTAATAGGGCATGACTGTGACTTTTCAGAATCCAGTGAGGATGAGTCACCCCCGGAAGCCCGGAGCTCAGCACTGAGACGTGGGTGTGGTGAGAAGGGTAAGGACCTCACCTGCCTCTCCAGGACGCAGGAGTCTGACTTCCCAGCTCCTGTTTCCTGGTGCATTTTCCTCTGTGTGTACACCGGGAGCCCATTCTCTGCAGCTGCCTCATCTGGCCATTTTACAAAATGGGAGGAAAGAAGTCGTTATAAATTCAGGAGTCATTATAAATTCAAGATGGTGGCTGTAGTTGAGCGGCAGTGCCCTTTTTACTACTGACTGCCAGACCAACTAACCCCTAAGTATTGGATTCGTGTAGTGATATCTGCTTCTGCCCATCCCCTATTTTGTAGAGAAGAGAAAGTGGGTGGTCTGCTGTTGCTTGACTTTGTCGCAAACCTGTTCAAAACTCAAAAGACCCTGGTCATACTCTCTAACTATTGACAGAAAGAAATCCTTCTGGTTATTACTGTCAAATTCAATTCATAGCTTTTGACAGATGACCCCAACATGACATTGGCCAAATGTGATATTTGAAAGATCTTCTCAGATAAGATCTCCTTTTATCTTTACAGCAACCTTGAAGGTGGGCAAGATAATGCCTGTTTCCACCATTTCACAAATGGGGAAACTCCAGCACACAAACACTTAAGGATTTTTTTTTTTTTTGCACATGATATATGGAAAGTTATGGGAAGAGGCAGAAGTAATAGCCTGGACTACCAAACATCCATAATCTTTTACTCAAAGTCCTCGAAGTGACATATATTTCAGAATTTAAAAATATTTTTATTATTTTTGAAAGACAATGTGATTTATATTTTACATATTACAGAACACCTCAACAGAGTCTGGGCAGAGTCCTATTCTAAAATATACTATATTAATGTTTCAGCAGCAACTTGTATAAATATTCCCTCCAAATGTGATAAGACTTTACAGGGACTCATGGCAGCTCAAGTCCAGATTTACTGCCAAATTGGTTAGCTGCACACATATGAAAAAATATTGGTTTTCAAAACATGTTTGATTTTGCAATTAGAGCTAAAGGATTGTGGATCCCTACTCCGTTTGGTAGTGATCCCTTTACTTTAGATGGGGAGAGACAGAAATGATCATCACAGCGTCTTTATTGTCCAAATCTAGTCTACAGCGTAAGTAGTCATAAGATTTATAATGTTTTAGTTATGGATTACCGGTTTTGTTTTCCTTTCCTTTCTAGATCCTGTGAATATTGGAAACACAGCTATTAGGTTATTAATTATGAAACGTCTGATTTTCTTAAGTGCTAAGTTTGATAGTTGATATCTCTGATGTTTCACTTTGACACTTCTTGTTTTATTTTCATTGTGAAAGTACATCCTCATTCTTTATTTTTTTTTTTTTTATTTTTTTTATTTTTTTGAGACAGAGTCTCGCTTTGTTGTCCAGGCTAGAGTGAGTGCCGTGGCGTCAGCCTAGCTCACAGCAACCTCAAACTCCTGGGCTCAAGCGATCCTCCTGCCTCAGCCTCCCGAGTAGCTGGGACTACAGGCATGCGCCACCATGCCCGGCTAATTTTTTTATATATATATCAGTTGGCCAATTAATTTCTTTCTATTTATAGTAGAGACGGGGTCTCGCTCTTGCTCAGGCTGGTTTTGAACTCCTGACCTTGAGCAATCCGCCCGCCTCGGCCTCCCAAGAGCTAGGATTACAGGCATCCTCATTCTTTAAAACACATGGTTTGGCTTGTGATTATCCTTCAAATTTTTTTTACAGCAATTTTTGTGAAACCATGGATAAGTCAAAAATTCAAGTTATCCTTGAATATCAGTTCTGTTGTGGAACCACTGCGGTGCAGACAGCTCAAAATGCCAACGAAGTGTTTGGGAAGGATGTGGCTAATGAAGGCACCATATGTCAATGCTTTGAAGTTCTGTTCTGGTGATTTTAATTGTGAAAATGAGCTATGTGGGTGACCTGAGACCGCGGTGGGTAAGGATGAGCTAAAAGCTGCAGTGGAAGTGAATCCCTTTCAACCTAGGTGTGAATTAGCAGCAAGGTTTGGCATTACTATTTCAACAGTACTGGGCCATTTGAAACAAATCAGCAAGATAAAGCAGCTGGATAGATGGGCTCTGCATGAATTAAATGAGCATCAAAAGAGAAATCCTCTTGAAACTTGCCTTTCTTTGCTGCCACAAAATAAAGGCGAGCCGTGTCTACACCATATTGTGACATGTGATGAAAAATGGATTCTTTCTGACAATCATAAGTGTTTGGTCCAATGGTTGGATAAAGATGAAGTACTAAAACACAGTCCAAAACCAAATACTCATCCAAAAAAGCTAATGATGTCTGTTTGGTGGTCCAGTGCTGGCATCCATTGCAGCTTCCTGAAACCTGGTCAATCAATTACAGCAGATGTCTACTGCAAGCAGCTGGGTAAAATGATGAGGATGCTTGCACTTGAGCTGTTGAGGTTGGTTGATAGAGTCAGGCCAATCCTCTTGCAAGACAGCACGCCACCACATGTCACACAAACAACACTGCCCAAACTACAGAAGCTGGACTTGGAAACTCTCTGTCATCCAGCATATTCACCAGCCCTAGCACCAACCGACTACCACTTCGTCCAGGCTTTGAATCACTTCTTTCAAGGAAACATATTCAATTCTCAACAAGCTGTGGAAAACACCTTTTGTGATTTCATCATCACTCGCTCTCCAAGATTCTTTGCTGCTGGCATAAACAGCCACTGTTAAGATGGCAAATCTGTGTCAATAGTTTAGGCACATACTTTGATTAATTGCGCTGCTTCTTGTTTGGGATATAATTAACTACACTTTTGATTCAAAATCGGACATTTCATATTTAGTGTCTTAATATTTGGAGGATACTCTAAAGGAAAAGACAATGTAGACCTCAAAGCGTTCGATGGCACCAGTGCAATACAGGTTTACTTTTCACTCACATAAATAGGATGAAAGATTTCTGGGGCCGGAGGCAGTGTCCTATTCCACACAGTCATTTACGGCCCAGCAGATGGAGGCTCTGGCATCTTTAAAATGTTGCTTCCATGGTTTAGCTGGATGAGAAACTGATGTGGAAGCAGAAGTGTGTACAAATAAGTAGAAAGGGCAAGAAGTGTAAGAATTGGTGACAAAAGGGAATCCCTGTCTTGGCAAAGCTGTCCCCAGCCCCAGCCTTGGGGACGGCTCCTGGACCAACTGTGACCAACAGGGCAGATGAAAGCAAAGGTGGCCCAGTGGTAGGAATATTTCTACCCCTCCTACATGAACTTCCTTTACCAATTTCCCTCTTAAAGGATTCCCTGTAGGATTGACTCCTAGACACAGACACTAAGACTGTTAAGGAATTGTGTTTGTTTCTGCAGGGATCAACAGTAGTGACTCTTCAGAGCCAAGTCATGGAGAAGACCCTGAGGAAACCTGCAGCTCAGCCCTGAGAAGTGCGTCAGGTAAAGATTAGGATGCCAAGCCTTGGCCTGCCAAATGTTAGAAATCTAAATTAAAAGCTACTGCTTCCAGATGCATTTTATTCTGAGCACTTTGCCTCCCTTGTATCCAGTTAATCCTGGGAACTTCTTTTCAGCATTTTAGAAAATGGAAGGAGGCAGGAGATTATTGTAAACTCATGCTTAACAGGATGGATCTCAGTGACTAAGTATATGTAATTATATATTGTTGCTATAGAAGAAATAAATCGCAAAATGATGGAATCTTTTTAATACTTACTGTCATGCCTACTGATACTAAGATCTTAGATTTTTATAGCAACATATTGGTTGACATTAATGTTGGTTGTAATTGTAAAAGCCTCAAAAGACAACTGTTCCTACTATGTAATTATAGACAGAAATAAAAACTTCAGATCACTCTCAAACTTTAATATACCTTTTGACAGAAATACGTTGTGTTATTTCAGTATACTTTGGCAAATAAGATTCCTTTTTTTTTTTTTTTTTTTGAGACAGAGTCTCGCTTTGTTGTCCAGGCTAGAGTGAGTGCCGTGGCGTCAGCCTAGCTCACAGCAACCTCAAACTCCTGGGCTTGAGTGATCCTTCTGCCTCAGCCTCCCAAGTAGCTGGGACTACAGGCATGCGCCACCATGCCCGGCTAATTTTTTATATATATATCAGTTGGCCAATTAATTTCTTTCTATTTATAGTAGAGACGGGGTCTCACTCTTGCTCAGGCTGGTTTTGAACTCCTGACCTTGAGCAATCCGCCCGCCTCGGCCTCCCAAGAGCTAGGATTACAGGCGTGAGCCACAGCGCCCGGCCAAGATTCCTTTTTGTCATCACAAAATCTTTAAGACTCAGGCAGCCTAACTCTTGGTATCCCAGTTTTGGGGTGAGAAAATAGATGTACAAAGGTATGAGGGCCAGAAAACAAAAAGAGCAACAGGGACTAAGTGCCTCATGGTGGGGAACTGTTGTGTGTAATGGACAGGAGGCTGACAGCTGTGTCATGGGAATCGAAGTCCAAAGAAGAAGCACAAGGAACCCAGAGTATTCACAGGGGACTATATCAGTGCTTGATGCAAGAAGGCTTGTTTAACAACAACAACCGTTTGTGTATATAGTGTGTGTGTGTGTCAAGCCATATTCATTGATATCAATGGAGAGGGAAAAATAAAAATCACAAAGAGACAGATTTAGGGATGGAGTCAGCCATGTGGTGTACAAAATACCTAGAAAGATAGAGCCAAAAAGGATGAACATAGAAATAAAAGGGAACAGAGATTAAGAGCATTGTGATGAGAAGAGAAAAAGAAATACAGGAGACAAGAAAATTCAGAGAGAGAGAAGCCCACAGAATGAAAGAGGTAGAGTTAGAAATGTACAGAGGCAGAACAATGGGCAGAAATGAGAAGTGAGGGTGAGAATGAGGAGTGGCCAGACAGGAAAAGAGAGCAAATCTCTGTTGGATGTGAGGTGTAGTCACTGGAGTAAGTGCATTTCTTTCTCTGCTCATCTGAGCTCTGAAAATAGTTTAGCAGGACCACATTGAGCTGTGTTCCCTGGTTCTCTGGCCACTCTCTGTGCTTTATCATTTCCTTATTTGTCTTCAATGTCCTATGAATCCAAAGCCCTTCAGATGAATACAGAAAGAGTCAGAAGAGATGCGGCCCATTAGCCTGTGATGGAAAAGTCAATTATGATATTATTTACCAGTTATCTTTGTATTCCCATGTATTCTTTATTCTTGTCCTCACCTCTCCCCCAAAACATTTGCAGACACAAATATACACACAGACACCACACACAGACTTGTGCACAGGCTCTGACGGCTTTCAGAAGGTTTGAGGCAGGCAAAAGAGAAAGGAGAGTTGGGCCTCTGAATGAAAACAGTAAACACTGAGTGGATAATATAAGGAGAAAGAATGGGAAATAGTAGGCTGGGGTCATTAAATGAAAAGATATCAGAGTAAGCTTCAAGTTTTTCTGCATGGACATAACATTTAAATGTACCAGTAGTTAAGGAGATTTGTGGGGTAAGAGGGATAATTTTCAAGATAGCTCTCAGAAGTTATACCAGGAACATGGAAATAAAGTTGAAGACTGATTGACAGAGTTGCAATGCAGGAAGCTTATAGGAAACTGGCAGAGGTAATAGAACTGGCGATGTGGTCAGTGTCAAAAGAGAGGCATTTGGTGATGATGGAAGTAGTCTGTGAGGCAAACCTGAATACAAGTGAAGAAAATATGGATATCACCCTGGGAAACAGAGTGAGACTACCAAAAAGTTTGAAAAAATTGAACAGGGCATGGTTACCACACCTATAGTCACGGCCACTTGGGAGACTGAGGCAGGAGGATCAGGTGAGCCCAGGAGTTCAAAGCTATAGTGAGCTATGATCATGCCACTGCATTCCAGCCCAGGTAACAGAGCTAGACCCCATCTCAAAACAAAACAAAACAAAACAAAACAAAAAGACAAAAAAGAACAACAACAAAGAAAAAATACAGATAAAGACAAAGATGGAAATTATAAAAGAAGCCATAGGATCAAGATAAGATTGACAGAAACAGAGCTGGAGAAGAGAACAGAAAGGGAAGTGATGGTAGAAAGAGGATCATCTTAATAATAAAGCTAGATTCAGAGATAGAAACAGAAAGCTAGGTGGAATGATGTACATGCAGGGAGTAATGAATTGAGAGGTGTATACGACGAGGCATTATGAGAATTATGTAGAGAATGAGTTAAAAGATGAGGGAAAATGGAAAAGACAAGATGTAGTATAAAATGGAGAGAGGAGAGAGATAAATTGTGGGGTCTGAGATGATCACAAGACAAAAGCAACTGTGGCACTAGGCTTGGTTTGCAGTAGCAGTGAGTTTTCAGAGTAGGTTGCCCCCAGATATCAAAGTGGCCCCTGTAACTCACCCAGTACACAAAAGACCTCACCCAGGCATTTCATGCATTTCTATCACTTCAGTCACCACCCACATCCTAACGATTCCTAAACATGTGTCTCCAGCCAGCCCTGTCTTCTAAACTCATTCATCCAAGTGGCAAAAGCCTCTGTCCAAGGTCCTGAAGGCCATAGCCTTCTCCACTTGAATGTCTCTCAAGATGTTCAAATTTTAAACTCAACTCTTGCATAACTGAGCATTTCATCTTTTTCCCTAATGCCAGCCTTCGCTTCTCCAGTGTTCTCCATCAGTGAAACATACTGTTAATTGATTCTTTCTTTCAAATTGAAATTCTTGGGGTAATCCATGCTAGGAAGAGACAAATACAGTGAGGAACAAAGAAATTGAAAGAGATTTCAGAGGTAGATCTATGCTTTAATATAGAAGTGGGTAGTTACTAATGTCTGGAGGGGGTAGGGCACAAATGAAACTATTTACAAATCACAATCCAGGAGCAGAGCTACAAAGACCTGAAAAGGAGAAGTGTTCCTGTGTCATGTGTTTTTCAAGTGGAGTGCCAAGAATTCAAGAAGCAACAGCAGAAAGTAGCCAAACACCTGACATGATGGGTAAGCCTGCCCAAGGGTCTTGGGATGGACACGGCTGAGCGGACACCACAGACACTAGGGAGGGCTGTGACAGGTGATCAGAGTTCAAGGAGAAGATGAAGCAGCCTCTGGCTCACCAGCAGGAAGTGGGCCCACAGACCCCAAGTGTCAGAAGTTCAAACGTCTGAAATCAGAGCTCCTGATTCCTGCACGATTGACTGTGAACACCCTGTGACAAGGAACAGGCCTGGTCCAGGCCAGAGTCCTGGTCTCTGCCTTTGCTTGGCCTGACCCTTTTGGGAACTGCAGGGAGGCAGGAGATCAATATAGAGCCATGTTTAACAGGATGGGCTCTCGTGGTTATGTAGGGATGATGTAGAAATACAGGGTAAAAATGGCATTTCATTTACTATATTAGCATATCAATAGTAAAGTGTTGGATACAGTGACTTTTACAGTTGTTTGCAGAACATAGAAAGCCATGTTCTTCCATTCACAGATAATAGTGTCACTTTGTCATAACCTTGAAAAGGCCTAAAAAGCCTGTTACCTGTCAGGAAGAAGGCCTCAGATAACTATTCTTAAACTAAAAATGCATAGTTTTGAAGGATGTCCTCCAGCATGCTATTGATTTATATGGTGATTTCCTATTAACTTATTTAATCTTCAGGAAATATTGAAAATCTGAACAGAATAACTGTTGCTCTCTCTGTTTTGTAAATGAGGAAATTGGTTCATGTAAGTAATTAAGAACTTTTTCAAAGTCTTAGAGAACTAAAGGAAGACCTTAGATATCAGTTCAGTACCTGTTTGTTTCCTTTAGAAGGAAGGCAGGAAGTGATACTCGGAACATCATTGTAAACTCAAGCCTTTCACACAGTGTGAATTGTCATAAGATTTGTAACTTTTGTTTACAAATTACAGTTCTCTGACCACTATCTGTCACTTTCTAGATGCCATGGATGCTGGAAACAATTCTGCTTTGGAAAAACACAGTGGAAAAAGAAGTAAGACCAAATAAGAATTTATTTGATTTTTATGTGACAAATGAACTAATTTTAAATGCTAAGGTTTATTATCATTATTTTCTATATCTTTAATGAGATAAAATAAATGCCTTTTAAAATAACTAGTTTTTTCAAAATGGTAATATCTTCATGTTGTTTTGTATTCTGATTTCAAGATATGATTCTTGTAAACATTGGTGTATATCTTTCCAGAATTTTTCTATGCATGTATTAATGTGTTTTGGAATACAACTTTATTTATTTAAATGAAGTTATTTTATACATACTTTTTATTTTCTTGCTCTTTAAAGCTAATATACCATACTTAGACAGTAAAAACATTTAACATTTTTAATTGAAATATAAAAAGGCTTATTTCAGTGCTGGTTTAATGTGCACTGTTTTTATTTTTATTGGGGTCAGGACTTTTTTATTTGTTCTTGGTCATTTGTTTTTCTTCTTCATAGAATTCTTTGTTATAGAATGCAGTCAGTGTTTTCTGTTGTGGTGTTTATCTTTTTCTTACTCCGCTGAATGACGGTAGAAATATTTATATGGGCTGGGCATGGTGGCTCATGCCTGTAATCCCAGCACTTTGGGAGGCCAAGATGGGAGGATTGCTTGAGGCCAGGAGTTCAAGACCAGCCTGGCCAACATAGTGAGACTCTGTCTCTATAAAAAAAAATTGTAAAAATTGCCTGGGCATGGTGGCACAGGCCTCTAGTCCTACCTACTGGGGAGGATGAGGCAGGAGGATTGCTTGAACCCAGGAATTTGAGGTTGCAATGAGCTATGATAAGATCACTGCACTCCAGCCTGGGCAACAGAATGAGATACTGTCTCTAAAACAAGAAAAAGCAAAAGAAATACTTATTTGTTATATATATTAAATCTTGGTCATATATGTTGCCAATATTTTGTCTCATTTGTTGTTTTTCTTCTTTTGTGTGTTTAAAAGACACTGTGATGTTTAATGTGGTACTGGGACACTAGGCCACATGGATCAACAGGTCTAAATTTATTACAACCCTGAACTTTGTTAGTGTCCAATACATGAATTATAACAATTGAAATCAGAATTTCTCTATTTAGAGATGAAGAAAAAAGTCTTCTAGTATAGTTATTTTGGAAGAAGGTGTTTCTGTTTATATTATTGGAACCAAGACTTAACAATCCAGCATATTTAAACAAGGAACTGATGAAAATACTTTTTAAAACATAATACTATTCTCTCTCTCTCCCTCTTCCACTCTTAAACCAAATCAGTCTTTACTTTCTACTTAAATTGCAATGAGCAACCCCACAAAGTAGGTATTTGAAAATCAGCGGGCAAACTAAAATTGTTGAGTAAATCCAAACTCCTTTAAACCAAGTTATTTCTTAAACGTCACACGTATTGTCAACCACCCACTGACTCAATATTTAACTACAGAGAGTAGCACCTATTTTAAAACAATGTGAGAAACTAAAAAACAAACAAACAAAAGAAAAACAAAACTTGAGGGTTTGATGTGAAAATATTGCAAGATGGAGTCTATCAACCAGAAACCACTTGTTCTAGTTGCTACACTCCTAATACATTCTTAATTTCAAAATATAGGAATAATGTTTTAAAAATCCAACACAGCAAATACCTAAGTATCTAGATCTGTAACAGTTCAGCTCACAGGCTTGACTCAAGACTTTGAACTTATTACTTAGAAAGATTAAGATTCTGGACCCAGTTATTCAAAGATCCACTAACTAACCCATAATGCAATTTGTGTTAACCGGCTGTACAAATCAACCACATAACAGCAGTCAGATGATTCTAATCTCAGTCCAACAGAAGCAGCAATAAAATTAGAAAGTAATATTTCTTTTTAGTAATTAGATAATCAATATGACAGCCCTGGGATAAAACAAAGAGAATTTCTTATTTCAGCTTCTTGTTCAATAAACTTATTCCTCATTTTTAGATGAGAATAAAGGTATCACAGTCAAACATGGGAATCTGCTTTCTGTTTATTTAGACTTTCGGGACAAAATTAACTTTGGTCACATATTATCTAAAAAAAAAAAAACAAAACCAGTTTTACATATTTTTAAATAGATAGGACTAAATGACTACAGAATTAACTTTTTTCTATAAAAACTGGCTAAATTTTATCAGAAACCTAACAAAATGCAATTCAAATTGGTTGGGTTCATAACATTCCAAATGTATGACAGTGGTTACTCCATCCTAATAGGTGTGAAAGTACTTGCTCTCTTGTTGCTTTGGCCCAAAGAGAAGAGCTGATAAAGAGGAAACTATCTAATCTTTTGCTAACATTAATTGTGATTGGTAGCAGAAATATCCACGATGAATAGTTCTACTATAATAAAGGATAATTAAAGAATATTTCTCATGAACATAACACAGTATCAAATTTTTATAAAAGAAAAATATGAAGGAACACAAATGATAAAATAGCTACCACAAACAAAAAGAAGGGTCTCCTCCATAACTGCATCTGAAGGGATAAAAAGGTGAGATTAGAGAATATGATTCCTAATATGAAAGGAAACTGAATACCGTATTTATTTCTTATTTTATGCAACTCTTACTCTTTACAAAAAGGTGATAGTCATGCCCATAAAAGTGTAACCAATGGCATTTGAAAGCAAACCCTCTTTGTAATTATTTAAAAGGGCCTTTTTAAAAATTATAATACAAAGGTCTGTGCTCTATAAGCAGTCCACCAGCATGCATTATAACGATAAGGCTTACTTTAATGCAAAGACTGTTCGGGAGTTATGAACTGTCTTGACCCGTGGGACCTTTTGTTACTTGCGGGGGCGAGGGGGACCGTGCCTGAAAGAGATGAGCGAGAGAAAGAAACGAGACCAAGCGAATGATTGTCAAGGTTTACTTTACTTGGATTTTTAGTAGGTTTTATATACAGAAAACAAGGAAGTAGAAACAGAAAAATAGAGTGGGGGGATGATGAGGCTTGGGTGTGGGCTAATTAGCCCCAATCAGCATCTCAATGGCACCGGAAGCTGTAATGCATTCTTCTCAGAACTATAGCTGGAGGGCTGGGTGCTATTTTTATTTTAGGCTATTTTCCGTTCGTAGGACAAGTCAGGACAAGTCGTTGGAATGTGGAGGGTCTTAGTCTCCAACAATGAACCACTGGATTTAACAAACGTCATCTTATAGTTACTTTTTGCATCTTTTTTGGGGGGATCCTCCACCTGGTCAGGGTGCTCAATAGCTTGGAGTTCTTTAGCAGATTCTTCTTTCTCTGACTCTGAATCACTCTCAGAGTCATCTGGACTTTCAGGATCAGGTGAATCATCATCATCATCATCATCATCATCATCATCATCAACATCATCATCATCATCATCATCATCATCACGTCTCCAGCCACATCACCTTCTTCATCATGATTGTCTATCTCACTGAAGCCAAGTCCATGATGTCGCCGATATCTTCCTGATAATTTACTGTCCCTACTTTGCTGATATTGAGACTCCAGTTCTTCATGAATTTTCTTGTCTTCTTCCCCTGTTCAGAAGTGCGATGCTGTTTTGTGATTTCCTATAACAAGACGCCCAGTATATTCTTTCTTTCCTGCACCCATCAGTCTCAAGAATTTTTGTTTTTTCTCTTCATTATCCAAGTCTGCTGCCTCCCAATTGCTGGATCCAAGATCGTCATCTGGGGAGGCTGGTCGCTTCACCCCATGGGGGTGACGCGCTGGGGCAGCGCTCATCATTGTAGGCATCCCGACGGGAAATGCTAAACCCACTCGCGGTTCTTCTCAGCCGCGACGCCAGCAGCCTGAAATCTGCCACCGGCCTAAGCAGCTCTACTCCAGAACGCAGACCTTCTGTTGTTTTTCTTTTAGGTTTGTTAAAGGAATCTTTTGTCCTAGAGAAGTTCTAAATTTTTAGGCAGTTAAATTTGTCAGGCCTTTGCTCACTGGTGCCTGGAGTTCATATCATATTTACAACAGCCATTTCTTCCTCAAGTTTTAAAAAATATTGTTCTATATTTGATTCTGGAATGTTTGAAGTACCTGATTATTTTTAATGTTTAGATGTACAATCCACATGGGATTTGCCTCTTTGTGTATATGAGGTGGGAATTTGAAAAATATTCTCTACACTGTTGCATCATGATTTAAATCTCCAGTTTGATCACACAGTATCTTTACCTGTCTACATTCTGTGTTTGCTTTGTAACCAAAGCGGCTATAGAAGAGAAAGGAGAGCTCAGAATCATCCTGATGATTCACTGGGGGTAAATTTTAGGATGAACTCAGGAAGATCTCCCCTTACTTCTTTCCTAAGTCCATTGGAACGTTTGATTAGAAATGCATTGAATTTCCAGATTAATTTAGGGAGAACAGAGACTTTTACCCTTTTATTCATGTCTTATTTAATGTTCTTCCACTAAGAATTCTCTTTGTACAACTCTTACAATTTTAAAGTTTTATATGCTATTTGTGTCACTATGAATATCTGGTTTTTTTCATTAGATAATAACTGGAGTAAATTTTGATGAGACAAGACTCTCAAACTTTTCAGTAATATTTAAGTGGAAATTCTGTAGTCATTTTATTATCTATTTGTATGTAAGGGAATCAGGATGCCAATGATTTAATATAAAATTATTCCAGTATTTACATAGTATAGGGATCCAAATGTCTCTTAAAATATTACAGCCAGGCTCAGAAATTATCCAGTGTCAAGACAATCAAATGGGAGAAAATATTCACAAGCTATATACATCCTATAAAGGACTAATAGCCAGAATCTGCAAAGAAGTCAAGCAAATCAGCGAGAAAAATCAACCCTCATCAAAAAGTGGGCAAAGGACATGCACAGAAGTTTCTTAAAAGAAGATTGACAAATGGTCAATAAACATATGAAAAAATGCTCAACATTGCTAATCATCAGGAAAATGCAAATTAAAACTGTAATAGCTATTACCTTGTCCCTGTTAGAATGACTTTTATTAAAAACCTCCATAACAACCGATACTGGCATCAATGCAGAGAGAAAGGAATGCTATTCACTGTTGGTGGGACTGCAAATTAGTACAACCTCTATGGAAAAGAGTGTGGAGATACCTCAAAGAATTAAAAGTAGACCTACCATTCAATCCAGCAATTCCACTACTGGGTATTTACCCAAGGAAAAGGAATTCATTATAGACACCCATGATCAAATGTTTATTGCAGCACAATCCACAATTGCAAAGATGTGGAATCCACCCAGGTACCCATCAGTTCATGAGTGGATTAACAAAATGTGGAATATGTGTACCATGGAATATTACTCAGCCATGAAGAAGGATGATTTAATGTCTTTTGCTACAATTTGGATGGAACTGGAGACCATTATCATAAGTGAAGTATCTAAAGCATGGAAAAAGAAACACCACATGTATTCTCTATTAAATTGGAACTAACTTATGGGAGAGTTAAGAGAGGGTGGGGAAAATACTCTTTTCTGGCTTTGGGGTTCAAAATGTATCAATTCATATCAGCCTTGTTAAATGCATCATTTGGGTCTTCCATCCTTTTGTATTTTGTTCACTGATCTCTCATGGGCTAAAAGAAGAATAATTGAGACTGGATGCGGTGGCTCACACCTGTAATGCTAGCACTTTGGGAAGTCAAGGCAGGAGGATTGCTTGAGCCCAGGAGTTCAAGATCAACATAGCAAGAGCCTGTCTCTACAATAAATAGAAAAATTAATGAGGCATAATGGTGTGTGCCTGTAGTCCTAGCAATCAGGAGGCTGAGGCATAAGGATCATTTGAGTCCAGGAGTTCCAGGGTGCAGTGAGCTATGATGACACCACTGCACTCCAGCCAGGGAGACAGAGTGAGACATTTTCTCTAAAAAAAATAAAAATAAAAAAGTGTGGAAAATTTTATCATCAATAAAATCTCCTCTTTTGAAAATGACTTGATCTTTTTGCCCGTTCAATTCTTTCTGTATCTTTATTTTTTTATTTTTTGAGACAGAGTCTCGCTTTGTTGCCCAGGCTAGAGTGAGTGCCATGGCGTCAGCCTAGCTCACAGCAACCTCAAACTCTTGGGCGCAAGCAATCCTCCTGCCTCAGCCTCCCGAGTAGCTGGGACTACAGGCATGCACCACCATGCCTGGCTAATTTTTTCTATATATAGTAGTTGGCCAATTAATTTCTTTCTATTTATAGTAGAGACGGGGTCCCGCCCTTGCTCAGGCTGGTTTCGGACTCCTAACCTTGAGCAATCTGCCCGCCTCAGCTTCCAAGAGTGCTAGGATTATAGGCGTGAGCCACCGTACCTGGCCCTCTTTCTGTATCTTTAAAGTCCAGTTAATTTACTGGAATATAGCTCAGTGTTGACAGTTCAGAGTCAATTTTTCTACTTCAGGGTAAAAATGTATGAACTGTTCATATGTACGTTCCATTTTATGTTATAATTTCACAAACTTTTATCTTGAATTTATCTTTAAATATTTCTTCTATTGCTTTGATTTTCTTCAGGAATTTCAATGATTTGTTCATTGTCTTCCATGGATTATTTTCTGTCTAAGTTTTCCTAATTGTTCTTAAAATTCCTTATTTTCTTTTCATATTTCTTTAATCTATACCCTTTGCTTTAATTTCCAAAATGTCTGATTTCCTTTGTTCTCCTCCTAAATTTGTCTTTATTTCTCTGAAGTTTTTTTTTTTTTCCCCCTTCTAATTCTTTTGTAACTTCTGGCTGTCCTAAACATGGGTTACAGTTTTAGCTTTTCAAGGCCTGCCTCTGAATTCCAGAAGGTTTACTTTACCGGTGATTTCTGAGATCTACTGTTGCTCACCCCTCTTGACACTATCCTTTTTCTGCTATCAGCTTCTGCCTGATTTCAGCCGCTTTTTGAATTTTCTGTATTGTGAATCATAGGACCTCATGTGGATATGTGAAACCATAGTGTAAATGGCTAGAACTGTGTAAATATTGTTTTGTGGTTATTGTTTTCCATGTGATGTTGGTAACTGGGGATTTAACCCTACGAAAGTGGGAGGAAGCCTTAAAAATAAAATACTTGACAACTACTGATAAATAAAGATTGTAAATCTTTATTTATAGTTCTAAAGGATTATGTTCTTTCTTTTCTGTTGAAGGGGAAAAGAAAACACATATATATATAATGTAAATAGCCTACAAGGAGGTAAGAAAATATGTGAGTATTCATTCCTTTGAGCTTGCTGTGGTCCAGACCTTCCTGCCAGACCCCATGCTTGCTGTAGCCACCAAATCTCCTATGGGCCATGGTAGCTTCATAATTAATGGATTATTTAGAGTACAAGACTAAGACTTTGCAATGAAAAGATCCCCAAATACTGTCTTTTCAACTAAATAATTCATTTGTCTTTCATTTAACAGTCTAGAAGCAGTAGGAAGAATCTGCCTTCCTTAACATGTGGTTTCCAACTCTAGGTCCAACAAGGTTGCTCTAGATGACATTGTTTTCCAACCAGTGGGAATGAAAGAAATGAACAAAAGAATCAGCTATTCATTTCTTTTAATGGAAAGGCCCAGAGGATTCTGCTTATATCCCACTGGCCAAAACTTGGTCACAGGGCCAAGAGCTGGCTGAGTGAGGCTGAGAAATGGAATCAGTGGCCAGGCAGTCAGCTGTAATTCTATTCTTACAGAAGAAAGAAAGAATGATTATGGGTGACAAATAATAACCTGCCTGCTTGTTCTCCACATTTGCATGCAAAGTCATTGATTTCCTCAAATAAGGAGGAAAACTCAGGCTCTCTGTTGATTCCAGGCCAGTCTTCTTGTCACCTGAGATCCTTTGGCAAGAGCAGGAGCTGGAACTTGGGATGTAGCCCAGAGCTATGTGGCCAGAAGCATGGCAGCGCGGTTTGGGAATTGGGGGAGGGGGGGAAGTTTTTGGAAGGTTTTTTTTTAACTACTGAATATAGCCCATGACAGTACAAGGAAATGCAGAGAGGGGAAACTGGAATCAATGAAGCAGAAGTCAGAGTACTGGTGCCACATCCCATCTATGCCTGGGAAACACACAATTATTAAACCAAACTCGACCAGAGCATGTGCCACACTGTGTGCACTAGAGGGTGAACAAGATGTGACATTCCACTCTCTGCATCAGCTTCTGCAGCTGTTCATTTCTGTTGCATTCCTCCTTTTTTTTTCTTCTTCTTTGTCTCTCTTCTTTTTTCTTCCCTCTCCTATTCAACTTATGTTTCTTTTGCCTACTGCATTTCTTTCGTTCACTTTTTTACATCATATAAAATATTTCTGGTCTGGGTGCAGCAGCTTACACCTGTAATCCCTGTAGTTTGGGACGTCAAGCCAGGACCAACACTTGAGGCCAGGAGTTCGAGACCAGTCTGGGCAATAGGGAGACCCCTTCTCTAAACAATATGTTTTAAAAATCAGCTGGGCATGGTAGCACATGCCTGTAATCCCAGCTGCTTGGGAGGCTGCGGCAGGAGGATTGCTTGAGCCCAGGAGTTTGAGGTTGCAGTGAGATGTGCTGACACCCTGCAGTCTAGCCTGGGCAACAAAGCAAGAGCCCATTTCAAAAAAACCCAAAAAATATAATAAAACACTTTTAGTACTTTATATGGCACTGTAGAGTTGACAGGGCTTTTTTCTCTAGAGTTAGGGCATATTTGGACACATTTTGCTTTTTCCCCCATTACTTCTAATTATTTCTGTCACTTATATACACATATATTCATATATTTATGTAAATAATGTAAATATTTTCAATCATAAATGACTTTAAATATAGCCATAATATACATAAATGTATGCATCTAACAGTTCTACCATTTCTATCATTTCTATCTCCATACCTATGTTTATCATCTTGGTTATATACCAGTTTATACCTACCCAGGTCTAAGATTTCTTTGCTTTTGAGTTTTTACTGGTTTCTGTGGAAACCTCTCAACCTTACATGCTTTATTAAAATAGTTGGATTTGGTAATTCTAAGCAGAAATCACATTAATTCATTCTAGTACCTTTTCAAACCTGTGTCTTCAACAGTTCTTTTCCTGACCATGGACGAAGTCTCAGATAAAGCCTGAGAGCTGAGCTAGTCCTTTCTAGCAGTGGTGGTATCGTGTTCAATATTAAAAAGCCTTAGCTGATATGATAGTAAAACTGGAAACGATGTAGCGAAGAAGCTGGGTGAGCCTGGTGTCTTCTCCCTTCTGCACTCCCTAACTCTGGTCAGTATCTGTTGCTTTCAGCTAATCTGGTCTGGGAGGAGGGAGAGAAGGATGTGAGGAGGAGCAGGGATGGCCCTCTCGTGATCCGTCCTTGGTGTCTCCCAGATGTGGTGGATGCACGAGCCATGGTCATTTGTGAGCTCTTCAGAGACACCCAGTTTAGAGAGAACCAATCAGCTGACGTTCCCCCAGTGCAGGAACGGGCTGTTTGCCACCTCCCTCTTAGGCTCCCAGCACCTGGGGGGTCCACACTCCTGCAAGGTCATCTCTTCCACCCAAGTGACTCTCCTGGACTGAATATCTCTCTAGAAGAGCTAATTGAGCTTTTCCCATCCCCTGGGAGGCCTGAGGGAAGCAATGATGCCTCTTCGTGCTATCATTGCCAGCGGGCTGTAGCTGGCTCCCAACACACTCAGCTCCTATAGGCTTCAGTTTCTTCATTGGTAATTGGGCAGTAAAAGTCCCTAGGTTATAAATAAACGAGTCGATGTACAGGTCTTGTATTAATGTCTATCATATAATAAGCACCTAAGTGTTAGCTCTCATTATTATTATTCTTGCAGTGTTCCTTGGGCTATAAATATAAATATAAATGAAACTGTATTATAGGCATGAGCCACTGTGCCTAGCCCTGTGTGTTGATTTTTGACAGCAAAGTTCCTCA